TCCCACCGCCCTCCTGCGTTACATACAAAATCACCGTCGTCCTCTGCTCCGGATTCCCCAAAAACCCCCTTCACCCTCGCCCCCCAACTCCCCCCATTCCTCCCCCCCCGGAACCTTCACAAAGCTCGTCGTGAGCGTCAGCCCATTCCCCCTATCGTGAATCGTCTGCACCCCCCCGTTCCTCGCATCGTACTCATCCCACCCGTACCCCTTCATCCCCTCGTTCTGCTCACAGGTGTACCGCATCGTGTTCTGAAAGTCATGGAAACTCTCCACCTTCCCCCACATCAGGCCCGTCATCAACGATTTAGGAATCCTAGGGCGCACCCCAAAGTAAAGATTTGGGCGGTAGGGGCCCCATAGCAGTGATGAGTTCTGCTGTGAGGCGAGTTCGCTGTGGAGGATGGATTCATCGTTGTTGGAGGGGGTCGCAGCATCGATGGTGGCGGTGACGGTGGTGGTAGAAGTGAGGAGGGCGGTGGCTGCCAGGAGGCGCCTCCAGTTGGGGATCATTGTGGGTCAATTGATCGGTTCGAGAATATATGTGTGATTATACCATCATCATCATCATCATCATCATCATCATCGCCGTCGTCGTCTTCGTCAGTATCGCGATTGTTCGTGGTGGTCAGGCACCTGTCTGCTATCACCAAACCCAATTCGGACAGCTTGCAAGTTGGAGCTCTCTCCCGCCCAAAGTCTTGGCCCCTGGCCTATGTAGGTTGGCCCTGGCAGTGGCTCTCAGCTGTTGGCTGCCCCACTCCCAATTGGGCGGGCCCCGCAGTTATCCATCGGCCCGCGCCCCCCGCCGAAGATCCCCAACAAAACCCCACCTTTTTTCGCTTCTGGGGGGGGTCTTCAAAGCAACTGTGCTCCCACCTGTTCTTCTCTCCAACTCTCGCTCAGTACCTACTGTACATACAAGTAGATCTGGAGAGACAGTGACACCTTCCGAATTGGTAGGTTATATCCGTATCAAGCGAGCCATCATAGCATCTGCATCCACAGAGCCGCTAGGCAATTTTGACTTCATCTGATGATTTGTGTGTGTGTGTCTGTGTGTGTGTGTACGCTCATGGTTTACGTACTGAATCTTTTGCAAAGTTTCAATAACGGTGTTGACATGGTTGACGCCATCTGCGTGAGATCTGCAAGCCACCGGTTTCAATTTACCTGCAGAGGGCCCAGAATGGCACTAATGGATATACTTGCACCGCAAGTATCTCGACAAGGGGTGGACATCTGCAAACATTAAGCCACAAACATCTCCAGACGACTTCACGTGAAGAGCCGTTCCTCTTGTCCTTATCGCCGCCTCAGACGTCACCCGCCAGAGTTCCCGGCGTCCGTGTTATTTCCACCTCGAAAGTTCAGTCCATATCTCCATCGTCCACCGTCCGAGTGCCTCGAATGCCGGCCCTGATTGGGGCGGAAGGAAAATTTAAGATAGGACGTCATGTGCCAAGTCAATAAAGGCATCGAAACAAGATCTGCAAGTGGATAGGTACAGGCCCCTCCCAGATCTAGGTTGAAAAACATCGACGTGCCGAGTAGAAAAAAGGGAGTAAAGATATTAGAAAAGGCCACTTAACCCCATTTGAACACCGCCATCGCTGGTGTTGCCCCCACAGACGTGCCACTCGGCGCTAATTCCATGATCCAGTGACCCCCCGTCTTGAATCGAAACATGATGAGGCCCTCCGCAGAGAGCCCGGAGATGTAGTAGATGTGATGGGACGAAGATGGCACAAACCAAGTCCCTAGTTCAGCATCAAGCAGCTCTCGATGAGCTGTCAGTCCTGTTGAGGCAGGAGTTCTCGGACCGACCCCCACACCCCCAAGGCACGAGCAGATTACCATATCGATGCTCCCTCGGCCCTACCTCACATTCGAGATAGCTTCCATCTCTCCGAGATGCACCGTCAAAGCGGCCGTGTACTTCCATAACCTCGGTCACCGATGCGGCCTCGGGGTCTCACGAGCTTCATCGACACTCCGTGGAAGCGATGCTTGGTCTTCCGGATCTGATGAGCACAGATCATCTCGAGAAACCACGGCATAGACGCACCTCGGACGCCACTTCAACGGCGCTCCAAAGACGGAACTGACAAGTCTGGCATAGCGGCGGGTCAAGCTCTCGAGAGATCGATCACGCTAGGACTTGGTTCTCCGGCACCCAGCAAGCCCGCTCCCTTGGCGTCGCCTCTTGTCGTCCCCTTTTCAGCTTTTCTCAACCACCGCAACAACTGCCGAAGATCAAAGACATGGGACGCCAAACCTTCCCAACACGAAAGCCTGCAGCAGGCGTGGGTTACAGAAGGATCGTGTGCTGCACCTGTCTTGATTCTCTCGACCGAGGTCGACACACCTGCATACGGTGCCAATCGCTTGCACCACGAGATCACGGAATGATCCCCAGTGGCCTGCTTCTGTCCCAACCTCCATCAACAACGTAGCGGGGACCCATGGGTCGGCCTGTTGTGGCGTGAGGTGCTTGAGCTCCCTCCCCACCCACACTCCCTTCCTCGGCGCGGAAGCCCCCCGCAATACCGCATGCCATGGCTTGCCGATGGTACCTCTCCACGCCGTTCCTGGTCATGAGAAAAAAAGCCAGTGGCCGACGGGTCCGGAGTTGTAATTCAAGAGACGGGGAGAAATAAGCGGCACGCGGGTGGCCATATGATCCTCATCCTATAGGTTCTTGTTTCTCAAGACAGGACCGAACGATGTTCCCCTGGCCAACTTGGCCCGCCCTCAGAGCTACTACGCTAGAAGCACGACGGCAAAATAGGAAATAAACGCTCAACACCGCTGTGCCGCACCTTACCGGCTTCGCTGAGCGGAAAGCACTCGCAGAAAGAATAAGCCGATGGCGTAAAAAAAACATGCAGGAACCAACGCCCACTAGGGGAGTTCCCGTCGAGATGTATGTGTATGATGGTGAGCAGATGATCGACGCTGTGACATGTCAATCATGACAGAATATCCAGAAAAAAGAAGAAGCGAGGTGGTCACTGGTCGTGCTGGTGAAGCAGCAGCGGGAAGGTAATCAACGTAAGGTGAGAGAGGTGAGGGTGAGAAATCGATGATCTTGCCGCATAGAGACGTCGAGGGAACACTGGGTGCGTCTCTCATGTCTGGGGAGCCGAGGGACCGGTGTTCGCCGAAGCTTCCATGCGTCTTCCATATATTGGGACGGGATGTGATGGGAGAGGTGTGGTTTCAGCTGCTCAAAAGAACCGCAGACGCGAGATAAGTCGGCCTCGCGGACTGCATCAAATGGAACGCAAGACGTTGCACTTTGTCTTTTGTCGAAAAGCATGGGGGGGTGCGAGAATAGAGTTTCTTGGCATCGCTCATCAGGGCACCTGCCGGGCGGTGAGAGAACTGCCTCTCCACAGCGCTCCACAGAGAGAGGTACCCCTCGGACCCGCATTCGGTTAGCTCCCCCTGACAGACCAGGATCACCTTGTAGCTCTCTTCTCGTGCCCCCTCACTTATTAACAACCATCTTCAGCCACACTTGAAGAAAC